AGGTATTGACTAATCTTGGATTAGTGTGGCACATAAGTAAGAAACGGGAGGTACGAATACTGTGTTGCGTCAAGCCTCCAAGTGAGTTTGCTTTTAATAATTAACGTTCTAAGGTCTGTTTTTTTTCTTTATCATTGATAAGTATGACACACAGACCATAACCAGGAAAAACTGTTTTGCCGAGTCTAGTGTCAAGTAGAATAAATACTGGTTAAGAATCTGGAATGGTTGGAAATGGAAGGATTGAAAAAAAAATGTGAAAGGAAAAAGAAATTTCTACCGAAAAGTTACGAAAGAGGCTTATATAATCAAAGATAGTCTGTATTTCGATAAAACGGAATTTATGTCGTCACAAATAACAGTAACATAAAAAAAATTAGAAAAATACAAATAATTCGGTTTAAAATCCGGAAAAACCTTTCAGACGTTTTGGCATTCATACAAGCGCATTTCATGTGTCTGTGTCGTTTATTGAGTACGGAAAAGCTCCAAGTGATTCCTACAAATATTTGCTTTGAAAATTTTGGTTGAAGTCAGACAATGTTGCATCTAAATATTGCCATTTTGAAAAATGCTGTTATTCACTGGGACAGAAAATTCTGTTTCCAGTTCGTAAAGAAGTTATTAAAAAAAAAAATCTGTAATGAAATAACATTTTTAATAAAGAGCTAAAATTTATGGCTTGTGCAAAATGAAAAACAAGTAACTATGAAGAAAAACTAAAAATTAAAACAAAAACGGTAATATTTCTCAAATTTTCATTTGCAGAAATAAATCGAAAATGAAACAATATTAAATATATATAAAGATTTACATATTTTTTTCATGATTATTTATTTGTGGTGTAATGGTTAACGAGACCGGTCTGGCCGAGCGTTATTAATAAGATCAATCCTGACAGGTGCCCCATATATAATTCGCCATTTAATAATAAAAAATACCCACAACTCATATATTAAACATATGTCTAATTTGCTTTCTATATAATCGATGGCGTACTGAAGAGTTTTGGAGCCGAATCAATAAAAAAAAGAATGTGGTGATTGGTCCGAAATGTCCAAAGGGTTTCTGGCAGAACCTCTTAGACGATTCGACACATTTCCATTACCATTTTAGAAAAATAAAACAGATTTGTGGAGCACAATATCACTGACGGATAGAGCAAGGTTTTCAGTTAGAAAACCATGTCACCAGTTCGGACAATGAATTCACGTCAGCGCCGATAAAAGAGCAGGCATACTGCGATCGGAACGTAGTTAATCACATTTTGATGTAGTCACCGCTGAAACGTATTACCCCACCTGTTCACTGTGCTCACATTTATTGTTTGGTCTCCGTAAACACACAGCTGGCGTTGTTGAATGTCAAATTGACCTCTATGTTCGTAAACTCAGATACATTGAATGCCTTACACTTACATATATAACAATATTTGTGAAATTTGATACATCTATATCTATATCTATCTATCTATCTATATATATATATATATATATACAGATAGATAGATAGATATTAGGGGTCAATTTTGATCGTGATTACGATTCCAATGTAATAAATTATAACTATGGAATATTACTGTTTGAGCCTTTTTTTATATATATATATATATATATATATATATATATATATATATATATATATATATATATATATATTGACTCTCCCGTCGAATTCAACGTATGAGGGTCAAGCAGATCAGTTCCTAGGAAACCGACAGCAGCACATGAGATTTGATTACAGTGGTGAAGGTTTCGTGCAGGACCATCCACACTTTTTGAAGGACCGAATACAGAGAGCTGGTGCACTACGTGCCACAAGGTCCCCAAACGACCCTCCGCAGGTTTTGAATTCAGATTTGTCCTTCTCTTAGACCAGTTGCCATCCAAGGCTATAGAACCCAGTCTGTCCTGCTATTTCCCCATAGTTGGAGGAAGAAGAAGAGGATTCACACCTTTCCCAAGGGTATTAGTGAATGTAATGGATTCAAGTGGAATTCGAACTCGACTCTCCGATTCCTCAATATATATATATATATATATATATATATATATATATATATATATATATAAAATTGTCGCACATGATAGTAGGGTCAGTTGGGCACTGTCTGTGAGAAAAAAGAGCACCATAACACAATTCACTCCGCCAGAAAATTAGAAACGCAATGCTGTACTGCTTAGCATTCGCTCCAGTACGAACATTTCAAAGTGCTTAGGTGTCAATCTGAAAACAGTAGAGAGGGTTCAGAAAGAGTTGGATGAGTCAAATGGCGATTACGAAGGTACGGCAGCTCGGAAAAGTCATTCTGAACATTTTGATAAGAACTCCTGAATTTGCTGGTGAGGGTCTAAGATTCACCAACGTCAAGTAACTCGAGTAGGTAGTGCTGCCCTGGGTAAAGGTGCAAAAGCCTATATCTGTCAACAGGACTCTGCACCATGCTATACAAGCAGGAGAAACCAGTCATGGCTGTCAGAGAATTTCTGCTACCACATCA